TTAGATCCCATTTTCATCATTTACCTCAAGCAACGCCACTATCTCCTCGAATGCTTCAATACGCAGACTGCGGCGAACGGATCTCCGGTCAACCGGAGTTAATAACGCCTCGGCCACCCTATGGGTGGCCATACTACTCCGTCCGAGGTAAGTTTCGAGCCCCTTGGAATTTCTGCTTTTGATTCTAGTTTTTGATTGCTGTGAAAAATCTCGTTTTTGTTCTTTTATTGCTGAGCCCCCTTCTCGAAAAAAAAACAAATGTTTCTTGCTACTTTCCCTGAGATAATTATCTGATCCCCCCTTTAATCGTGTGTGTTTGTGTTCTATTTATAATATAAAATAATGCCCTATTTTAGAGTTTTGATCCGAGTGAAACTCGGCTTGTTGGTTGATGAGAGTCCATGATTATAACGTGGTCGTTTCTGGGTGTTTCATGTGGTCACGACGTCGAGAAAATCGGCCGTGGAGGTGCGTGAGGCGCAAGGGAACTCTGACCAGGGGAGTTGCGGCGCGAGGTGAAACGTTTGCTAGGGTTCTGGAAACCCTACCCTTCTGTGGGTTACTGGCGGTTCAGATGGCCACCCGGTTCACGTGAGTTGGTCTTGGGTTGTCCTGTTGGGCCATGGAGTACTGTTGGGCCACATGCATTGGACCAGTAAAGAAAGAAAGAAAAATATGTAAATACACATATATATTATTAAATAATAATATATAGATATATGTATATTATAATTTGGAATTTAATCGGACCGAATTAAGTGTCTTCATTAAGGAATGATCTAGTTGAACTCGAACCAAACTGGACCACTGATAGAACCAGACTAGTGATCGAACTAGACCGTTAACCAGACCATTTGATTGACCCATTTGATCAGCCTGTTTGACTGATCTGTTTACTTGACTCTTTTGATCCTACTCATTGATCTTGACCATCGATAAATCAGATAAGTTGATTCGTATCCACAATTGCTACAAGTCTTCTCTAGATAAATGCCTTATATAGTTTCTTACTAGTCTTTTCATTCCTTTAGTATAGGTGTTGGTCTTAGTGTGGGTCATGTCTGTATACTGTTAGACGTTGGTTGATTATATATTCTATTGCATTCTCAGTTAGTTGGTATATATGTATGGCTCTGATTATGTTATATGATTGTTAAGCACATTTGTTTCATTTGTACGTCTATTATTATTTTGTTTCACTTGTATGACTGAAAAAAAATATATGTTTAATATGTAAGTCTGATCAGCACACACGTTTAATTAATATTGCTGTACATCTTTGTGCATATTACATGTACAGCTTGATAAAACTGTCATAGTCCGGAATATTATTGTATGTCATTGTGCATTTTACATGGTTTGGGTTACGCATGGTAAGTTACTGAATATGTAGTATGTGTCATACTATTGTGTGCTTCTGTTACGTGATTATGCGTTACTATTTGCTTCTGTAATACGATTATGTATTATTATCTATTGTAGAAATATGGCCATACTGAGCTCGAAGGAACTCTGCCTTTAGAGGTTAGTAGATGGATGAATAGTTAGGTGCTTAGTAGCTCATGTTTGCGTTTGTTATGTTTGATTATTTTATGAGTTAATCTCTATATGTAATATGTTCTCGAATTAATTTTCCGCACATATAAACTACATTGGGTTTTATAACTCATTCTTCGTTTTTTTTTTCATTTCTCTGTAATCTTTAATCTTAGACTTGATATTATTCTAGAGGTTTTTTTGTATTTATTTTTATTTTCAAGTTTTTTATTTTAATTCCAGTTGTGACTTTGTAATTGTTTTATTGGACTTATTTTTTTATTTTAAAATATCAAGTTGGTTTTTAAATTATGTGACAATGGGAACTTGATCGTAACATATAAGTGAGGTTTAGGATATTACAAAAAACTCATTTTAACCACTATCATTCTTTATTGTCAAGACTAGAAAAAAAATCAAATTTTAATATATCTTTTTTATGTCACTTTTATCTGAAAATTTAAAAATTTTAATTCATTAAAGATGATTGCTTAACCATCCCACTGGGATTAGGTCAAATTCAACCACCTATAAATGCATCTTGATGCGGTACCACATGAGAGAAATGACCCATCAAAAAGGGGAAAATCAAATATTAATTAGCTAGTAATTCGATATTATAATCATTGTATTTCCAAAACCTTTTCCCTTGGCCTTCGTTCCCTCACGTTTAATACAGATTCCTGAGCAATATCTTGCAGTCAGACTAATTCATCGTGTTTATTTATTTATCGATAATCGTTCTGATATTATAACATATACATCTGATAGATTAATAATTAGTACTGTTTATAAAATGAATATTTCCAGCGAAGCCTTATCTTAAGGGTATCAGACACAGTTGATTTCTCTGTTTCCCAATCCCCAGATTATGAAGAATCTAGTAGCCACCATGTTTCCCAGTCAACAACATCCGGCTTACAAATTGTTTGAATGCCATTAGCTAAGCTTCATTGTTCATAGAATATTGAAGGAATAATATTCCCCCTAGTTTAATAACTTGAACAAGTATAGGGTTAAATGCATGCATGAAACAAGTTATATGTTCGTTGAAAGAACCGCCCCACATGCAGTTTCAGCATTTTGATCCACTTTTAACATTATCAGATTAAATATTAAGAATGTTACACCTATCGTCATTTTCACCATTTACCTTCTGAATTAATGTTTTCTTACTTTGAGAAAAATATTAAACTAATTTAACCCAAACAAGTATAGGCATTTGTCCTATGCATTGTCATCGTTAGCTTCGTAGATGCATGTAATTAGTACTAGGTTCAGGTGTCCAGGCACAAACCAAGATGGTATCCACTTGATGTCATTAACACTTAGCGATATTTGAGGTTGGTTAATCGTATCGTTTAACCTAAACGGTTTAGTTAACCGTTATAGTAGTTATTGAATTTCATTAACCGTACTCTAACCGTTAAAAAACTATTAACTATTAACGATTAACTGTTATTAACTATTCAATTACAAATTATTAAAAATTTCTTTTTCAAATGTTCATTGCTTCTTTTAAGCATAATGAAATTACTTCAATAAATATTATATTAAAATTTTCATGAAGAATTACTTAAAAAGAGAGATTCTAAAAACAAACTTCATATGTAGTTCAAAAACGAAAAGAAGAGTAAACAAATACTACATAATAATTAGTACATCTACATACTACATACTATATATTGATGTATTAGTCTAAAGTTCCAAAAAAAAAACAAACTACACCATCATTAATCGTACTACAAAGTTCAACACATAATAATAGTCCAATACGCCATTAATGTTTCAAAGATAAATCTTTAACATACATTACACTTCTATTTTCCTTTTATATATATATATATATATATATATATATATATATATATATATATATATATATATATATAGTTAATCGATGATTAGTCGTTTGTCAAAATTTGTAGTCATTAACCGTCACTTTTAGTAATTTGGTTAATTGAAACTATTTAATTCTAACAGTTCAATTAATTAATCTATAAAATGTAACAGTTATATTGATTAACGGTTACGATTAATATTCACATGTTAATTTGTACATCCCTAATTAACAATACGTGAGAGAGGCATCAGGGTACTAAAAGGTTGTTGAGACGAAAGAACCGAAAGTGTTCAATCATATTTGTGAATAGTATGCCTTCAAGAATTCAAAAGAAATGTTTGTGGATAATATTTTGAGTAATTGATACATGCATAAGAGAGGTATAACTAGTTATTTTAGACAAAATTTTAAAGGTTGGAATATCAGTTCGCTTACGATGAATTTTTAGATGGGATCTAGATATTTTTGGGTCAACATTTCTTCTTACAACATGACTCATCTTGAAACATATTAAATAAGCGTCATGAACTTAAGATATGTTCGTTTTAACAAAGACAATGCAATTAGAAAATTTTATACGATCTAATACGAGATTTTTTAATAATTACAAACTTTTAATATTTTTATTTATTATTTATGATTAAATCAATATTAAGATTCTTAATTATATATTTTAGATAATTTAATGTTATATTAATCATTTATTTTATTTTTAATAGATTTAAATAAATTAAGATTTACAATTCATGCATAAGGGGAGGAGATTTTTGGTGCTAATAGATAATGAAGCCGCAACTTAAGGAAAAATTATTAGATGGACTCGATTCACCACCTCATTTGTTATCCATCTCAATTTTTTCCATGGTGAATCTTTAACTTTTTCCTACATGTAAATAAATAATGGATAATTATTTGAAAGTTATTTTGAGATGAATGTATCTTATTGACAGGGACCACAAATGACGTGGTGAGCCAAGTCCGTATAATAATTACACAGTCTAGGTATCAAGCTCTAAACCCAAAATACATAAAATATACAAATTTTGAGATCATCTCTAGTCCTAAACATATTTAAACTCAACCAAAGCATATTCACACATAAACACACAAATTACAACCCAATTTAGCAACAATATTAATGTCAATTATCGTGGTCAATGATTCCTTGAATCACATTTAAATATTTTTATAACAATTTCATCACTTATGAACATGGACGTTATAACTTCTAAACACATAATCATGCTTCCAAACCATTAAAATTAATTCATTGTACTTACAAACAACACAAGTAGAGTATAAACTCTTGCTAGTCATGCATTAAAAAAATATAATTAACTATAAACACATAAAATGAAAGAGATATGTGTGTTGAGACAATGTTCATGTATCAGGACAATCTCTCTTTCAAATATTTAATTGACATTACAAAAAGGATTTGTAAAACAAGCATAATTTCAACACAATTAATAAACAAAAGAAGAAAATTTAAAGCTGGCTTTGGGTTTTCACTTCATGATGATTGATTGTATCATGCATGCAATTCCCATATTCTCTAGAGATTATATAAATATATATATGTGTGTGTGTGTGTGTGAACCACTACAACAAAGAGAGAGAGATGGAGAAAGAGTACCCAAGTGATGTTTACAAGGAGTGCTTGAGAAACCATGCAGCCACCCTCGGCAGCTACGCCACCGACGGCTGCGGCGAATTCACGCTCGACAACACCTCTCTCTCAACCCTACAATGCGCCGCATGCGGTTGCCACCGCAATTTCCACCACAAAGTCAGCTACATGACCAGCAGGAGTCGAGGAGACCCAGAAAACACTGTAGAACGGATCGATTACGAAGGCGGCAGCCGAGGGACACGTCCCGTCATGGCGGAGGGGCGAGACAGGAGCGGAAAGAAGCGATTCCGGACGAAATTCACAGCGGAACAGAAGGAGAAGATATTGGAATTCGCGGAGAAGCTGGGGTGGAAGCTGCAAAGGAGAGAGGAGGAAGACGAAGTGGAGAAATTTTGTAGAGGGATTGGGGTGAGTAGGCAAGTGTTCAAGGTGTGGATGCATAACCATAAGAACGCTTCCTCTGTGTCTACCTGCAATGTATGATCTCTTTCAACTCCATAGAAAATCCGGGATCTGATCTGATACTCTCAATTTTTCTCTTTGTTTTTGTAGGTTTCCATTACTTTTTCTTCTTTCACTTTAGTTCATGTTGGGTTATTGTTTGAACCTAACACAACAATTATATTATTAAAAATTATATTATATTTATATATTATATAATTTATATCACATAAAATAAAAACATTTTACCAACATACGGCAAATGGAATTTTCCCCCCGGTATACCTCAGTTTCCATATTAATACCCATCTAAAAAAAAGTAAATCGAATTACCATTGTTTTTTTTCCTTCTCATTTTGGGTAAAATATAACTTGTTAATATAAGACTAAAAAAAAATGATATAAATCGATTGTAATCCAAAATATTATTAAAAGCGTAATTTTTATATTGGAATAATAATTAGTTTGACACTAAAAATATTACATTTTCATAACATTTTCGATTGTAATCGAAATTATTACAAATTAAGTATTTTTTTTATTCTAAACCCTAAACTCATTGCAACGCAACATTTTCAGTTGTAATAAAAAATCTTATAAAATATAACTTTTTATATTAAACATGATAAAATTTTAATTTGCAAATTATCTTAAATTAATCTTAAATTAATCTTAAATTATGTTTCCAAAAGTACCCCATTTTAAGGTCTATATACATGATTAAGAAATGAAGACTAAATTGATTGGTTCCAGAAGTTATAATCAAGACATCATTGTGAAAATCATTAATTGAAATAAAGATTGAAATTACGAAAGAAAAAAAAGTAAATTGTTTAATTTGAAAATCATGATTGTGTATTTTTTTTTAATAATTTAGAGTTAATTACATCATATATCCTTAAAGTATGCCCATCATTTTAAATTGGTTCCTAAACTTTTAAATATTCCAATTTTATCCCCAAATTATGAATATCATTCTAAATTAGTCCTTCAAATTTTGAATGTTTCAATTCCATCCCCAAACTATGACTGATCGCGTGTAAATGTGTGTATTTTGACACGCAAATTTTTGCAAGTATACACAATCGATGCAAGTAATATAGAAGTAAGTGAGTTATCGTATCCACAGGGATTTAAGGGAAATCTTTGAAGTTTGCTACAGCTAGTACTAGGCGTCACAAACTAATCCTAAGTTTCTTGTCCAATGGTATTCACAAAGAAAAAATAAGTCGTGGCAAATGATATGAACAGATGGAAAAATATGTTAAGGCGAGAAAAATGTGAAGTGAAATGAGCAATGAAGTTTTGTTGTGGCAAGAAAAATATGCAAGAGTAAATAGATAAAAGTTGTCAAGGCTAAAAAAATGTTGAATTTCGAATATATACTAAAAACCTCATACAATCAAACTTCTAATAGAGCACTTGAGTTGGATTTGATACGACAAGAAATTATTCTATGTCTTGGATGATCATAGTATACTATGCCTATGCTGCCCGATTGGATTTACTACAATGTTCCAAGAGTATCTCTAACACAGAACTTGATAAACTATTGCTACGACAATTCTACTCAGTGTTAACTGCAGCCCTTGGTTTGTTAAACTGTTGCTACGATAATACTCCTCAGCGTAAACAATAGCTCTAGCCTATCTACTTTTGTATTTATCCCTCTTAGGCGAATCAAACCCTCTCCTTATCTCAAAGGTGAATTAAAACCTCACCATCCTGAATCAGTTGCTTTGTTCACGTAGATTTAACCTAACTCTTTCGAATATTAGGTATCAACTCCCAGAAAAATGGAAATCTTTCAAAAGCTCTTAATATTTCAAGGCAAAAAAATTAAAATAGTGATCAAAACAACATTTAACAAAAGCATACTTAATCATTCATTAATAGTAAAATAAAGTATCATCCAAGCATTTCCAACACCAAATAAAACAATTCATGGTATGGTTAATATCATCCCAAAAATATTCAATAAATACAAGCCCTTAAAAGATAAGAAATGAAGAACAAGAGAAAAAAACTCCAAGAACAGAGCTCTACCGTGACATCAAACCACCATCATGACTGCTCTAGCGCACCAGCCTCTCTCAAGGGCCTGGACACTGCTCCTGCGAAGCCTGACTATGGAGGGCACCAAGGACAAGAAAGAGTGGAATGGTGGAAAAGGAAGAAGTTGCAATCACCTTTCTCCAAGCCTTTGTGGTAGGGTATCTCTCTCTTTCTTTTAGAGGGTATAATGTGATATTTATAGTGGTAATTTCTAGGGTTTATTACCCTTGGAATTTCCCTATATACCCCTAAATTTTACATCCATTATGTGAATAAAAATGGTAGCTGGCAGTGGTCCAAAATTCTTAATAGGGGCAAGGGTTCATGTGAGGTGTATTGGACAGCTAGCCACGTGACGTCAGTCATTTTGTCTTGTATTACGTCAGACTTGCGAGATAAAGCTCGCCACAGAAAAAATTATTCCTCACGATCGTCTTCAGCTCATTTGGCACTGGCAAATAATTTTATCTCAGTAAATAAATTATTCCTCGGCCATTTCCTATTTTCTGCATCATCATAGCCAGCACACAACCATTCTCATCAACATCATGAGTTTATTCAATTAAAACTTTGCCACGACAAAACTTATCCACCACATGCAAAAATGTCCTAAATGTAACTAAAATGTTATGTCAATGGCTTTTAGACAATCAATATCTTAACTAAAAAGACATAAAATATAGTTTTTTACATAGTTATCATACCCCCAAACTTAAGCTATTATTTTCTCTCAAGCAATGGATAATGAGAAGTAGAAAAATAAAGTGTCAAGGCAAAGTATAAATTAGGACAATCAAGTGGTTTAAAATTTCAGCCCTCAGTAACAGTTTGGCCTCAACATACTAGACTGAATGAGAAGTCAAGTACCTTTCCCTAGGTCAAGACTCTTTGTCAGTGTGTACGTGATTGTATCTAGTCTATGCTTAATGAATTTAGAAAACTCCTAAGAGAATTCTTTTGGTTTTCTAAGAAATAAAATTATTCATTAAGAAAAATGTCACTCATGTTTATTCAACATTTAATTTCAGATTTCTTTCTCTATTTTTTTAACACTGATTCAAGGGGAGTCAGCCCATCACACCTACTATCCCATACTCTAGGTAAAAGGGAGCATACCTTCCACCCCGACCTAGTCAGGTAAAGTCATCTCGTGACCATTTTCATTCACTCATGTGCCAATGCTACAATTTATTTAAGTAAGGTTTCCAGGTAATGACTATGCATAGAGGAGAGTCCCTCTACAGTTATGCTCAGGCATTTATTTGCAATTCATAACACTAAGGAGTTCAACTAAATCTTTTCAATCATTTTATGCCACGGTGCGTAAAAGTTCTATCCTAAAAATTTTCTAAGAACCTTAAGAAGAGAAAACATACAATCATGTTAAAAGAATCACAAAAAATCAAGTCATAAGGTTGGTTCTATCTTCTTCAACAGACATGTACAATAATTCTGGCCAAGGCAATAAAAAATTTCTTTTATCATCAGGCATCCTTAACTCATCCCAATTAACTATCCTAATCATAATTTATATCATGACAAAAATATTTCTACTAAACATTATCAATGCAATTAACTAAGTGTGAAACACAAAACCTCCCCCAAACTTGAGGGATGCATTATACTCAATGCATGAAAACTAAGGAAAGTTAAATTACTCTAAATGCTATACAAAAGAAAATGTATAGAGGTACCTCATTATGGTAGGTCAGCCTTGTTGGGCGATCGGGTGCATCGTCTTTTGAGAGGGAATCGGCTATCAGATCTTGTTTCTTCAGAGGGAAGTGATGATATCGGTGGAATCACAGTGTGGCCTGCTGAGCATTTGAGGTGACACCTGGTCCTAGGGGTCTAACTTGTGGCGTCTCCTTGGCATTCTCAGTTGGGACTTCCAAGGGCTGGATTTCTAGGGGTTAATAAATGAAAAGTAAAAAGTAAGATTGGGGTAATAAATGAAAAATATTTTGATTGGATGGTTTGAAAATAAAAAGGAATAAAATATTAAAGGAAAATATTTTCCTTCTCAAAGTTGTCGCCCAAAACAATTTACTAGGGTTTTGCTCTTCCTCCAATGTGTGAGCCCCGTTCTGAAATGGCCATATGTCAAAAATATCTACAGAAAAAAAAATTCATGGAATAAATACATAAAATAACTTGTGCAAATTAAAAGAAATGAAATTTTTTTATGTATATAATGCAAAATAATTTTGCTGAGGAAAAAAATGTTCAGAGTGTAGATGCAAACTCTTAGGCATCATGTAGCAGCAATGTCGACTTATCTCGCAGGATGGGTGCTCTGTTATAGGACTTCAGCCTTTGTCCATTCACTTTAAGTTTTTTCCATTCTTCAAGTTCTTGATTTCTATTGTATCATGGCTATGCACCTGGTGTACTAAGAAAGGTCCTGAGCATCTTGACTTCAGCTTGCTTGGAAATAACTTGAGCCTTAAATTGTAGAGCAGTACTTGTTGGCCAGAAAAAATTGCCATGGAAAAATGTTTCTATCATGCCACCTTTTCGTCTTTCCTTGTAGAGACGGACATTCTCAAACGCTTGGGCTCTAAATTCTTCCATCTCGTTTAGCTCCAGCAACCTTCTTTCTCCAGCAAGTTGTGCATCTATGTTAAATTTCTTGATGGCCCAAAATGTTTTGTGTTCGAGTTCCACGGGCAAGTGACATGCCTTGCCATAAACTAACTTGAATGGAGACATGCCTAATGGTGTTTTAAATGTTGTGCGATAAGCCCACAATGTCTCCTCGAGCTTTAGCGACCAATCTTTTCTTCTTGGGTTGACCACCTTCTAAAGTATCTGCTTGATCTCGTGGTTGGAGACCTCAACCTACCCATTGGTCTAGGGGTGATATGTCGTGGTAATTTTATGGCGCACCCCATAACTTTGCAGTGCCTTGGTAATTAATTTGTTATCAAAGTGGGTGCCCTCATCACTGATAATTGCTTTTGGTGCTCTAAAACGCGTGAATATATTTTTGTACAATAACTTTAGTACTGTATTGGAGTCATTTCTAGGTGTTGTCACGGCCTTAACCCATTTGGATACATAG